TACTCAACTCCTTATGATACAGAGATTACGTGAGAGTTTGGCTAATCATCATTCTTTATTTCATATCGACTAATCAAAGCTTAAAACCAAATCGTGTCTATTTTTTGAACAAGTCATAAGGTGACATGCAAACTTACGCAACTATATTTCAAGCAGCTAACATACTGTATAGGTGGGTCAAATTCTCCTCCTTCTCTTTCTTTCCTCTCCGGTTACCCGCGGAGTTTGGATTCTTCTACTACGCGGCATCTTAAGTGATTGACTTTTTATTATCAACCCTATACTGTAATTCAGCTGTTTAAAAATAGGACACACGGTGATACATTCCATTTTTTCTCTTTGTTCTGAAGCAGGCAACCTTATATCACGTAGAAGAGCGCAATCGTTTTATATTTTAGATACAGCCCGGTCTTCGGAACGTAATAAGGTGATAAGGGTAGTTGAATTTTCCATCAATGAAACCTTACGTTTCCATTGAATTTCAAATAACCATGCTTTCTCAAAATGTATTCTCATCTAGGATTGGCTGTCGTTTCGATCTCGTCCAGGTCTTATCAACACCCCCAGTGGGATTCGAACGATGGTAAAATGCACAAAGGCCCAGTAAAATAATACTCTCAAGGTAGCCAAACTACGAGAGTAAAGGTTAAGAGTGGAACCAGAGGCAAGAGACTGCCTAATAGACAAGTTCCCTGATATTAAGAAAGATCTTATTCAAGATAATTAAGGGTAAATAAATCTTATGTTGTAAATAAAAGAACTAGGCTATACTAACATGCAACTGCAGCTGATCTATTACATGTAGAGGCTGCCGCGGAGGCTGCTTCTTCTTCAGCTAACAACTCGCTGACCGGTCTCGAAGTTAAAGCTTGTGCCGCAGCAACCACAGCGCCATCCGTGGCACTGGGGACGACTGTCATCCCAACTGGCCGACGACGCTTCATAACAGCAGAGGAATGGCCAGCAATGGAGGCACCACCAGTACAGGGGCCAAGAGTCGATGAAGTAGAATGGGACCCAGAGAGAGGCCGGCGCTTAGTATATTCAGCAGGCCAAACCGAAGAACCAGCCCCTCCAACTTGACTATTGTCATTAAATGAGCGATTTTGCTCATCAGGCACACCCGAAGATGAAATCGCATCATTACGGCCATACATAGGGCATTCCTTGTTAGTGCGCATATGCCCTATTAATACAAGGATTGGGGAATGATATAATTTTGATAAACTGAAAGGTCTATGATTAAAGCGTGTTACTCCAAAGTTAATACGTTTTAAGAATTGAGTTAAAACTGATAAGGCAAATAAAAATCGTCATCAAGCTCACCTGTGTGACCACAGGCGCCACAGCGCATTCTTAATAGAGCCGGTGTGATGGTTTTGTGCCTTCGTCGCCTGGCTACATCTGCAGGAGTACGTGAACAGGAGCCCAAAGAACCAGGCCGACGTTCATTGGATGTAAGACCACTTGCGGCTCCAACGCTTCCACCAACGCCTCCATCTACACCACTGCCACTACCATTGCCAGTGTTTGAACCAGTACGAGAATGTTGATTAGAAGAGACAGCGTAAGAGCCTGGTGCCCCATGACGCTCACGAAGAAGCTCTTGCTGTTTCCTCAAACGGCGAAGCTGATCCTGTCAAAGAACGAATACTTAGTGATAGTAAAAAGAACAGCTTCCTTTACCATATAGCCAATAAACTTTCGCAAGCAGCATAGGTAAATGACGGGCCAAATAGGCCATAAAAGCAAATTTCGTCCCAAAAGAAGTGGTTTAGGCCCGTTTACTAAATTTTTATCGTGTTATCACCTAGAGTTAGTTGAACGCAAGCATTCTAAAATCCTCTGCAATATGATAATTCCCACCATCGGACCGTGGATTTTTACAGATTTGCAGGCTTATCGCCGACATAAAGCTACAACACTTTAATGAGACAAGTCTGCGACCAAAAGAGGGAACATAGAATATCAATCTTAAGATCTTCGTCTCCAAATTCTGCAGAGATCATAGTAT